ATTAAGGTGTCATTTTAAAGCTGATGGTATAGCGCATATGGGAATGGTAATTAAAAAGGTAATTTCCCTAAGGGCTTCGCCCCCTGCAAAGTTGTTTGACAACTACCCGTGTCGTAACACTTCGGCCCAGTAACATTTCGGCCCGAAACCCTCAGATGTGGCCTACGGTCCAACTCTCTACCTGCCCACTAGTAACACTTCGTCCCAACAAAATATTTGACAGGTTAGGTTAGGTTAGGTTAGGTTAGGTTATGTTAGGTTAGGTTAGGTTAGGTTAGGTAAGATTCCACCGATTCTCCGTCATGTGAGGTCAGTGAATGCAAGGGGTGACGGTTGGGCGACATTCCACCAGAGGGTGGTTGCAAAGTATACAGGTCATGTACCTCTTACTACCTTAACTCGCGTTCCTCAACCCTTGTCAATTTTTCGTCGGGCCGAAATGTTACTCCATTAGCTTATTTAATCATCTGTAAAAGCGAGTGGGACGAAGTGATACTGTTTTTCTAAGAAATTTGAGTTTGGCCGAAATGTTACTGGGCCGAAGTGTTACTACATCCAACTACCACCTGATTGAGGCAGGTAAATCACTCTTTATTTATAGTTTAGATTTAAAATCAACAAGTATTGTAAATTAGTAGTTCTGTTTACCTATTAACTGTTCTAAACAAACATAATCTTGAAAAGGTAAATATGTATTGAACTTTGTTCACTTTGCCTCGGAAGCTAATTTTGGGCCATATTAAACTACACAATTTTCACATGACCCCTCGTAGGCCTACCTATATATTTATTTATGTGGTATTAAACTAAAACATGTTAACACTTTTAGAGTCTGCTGCCAATCATTGTAAAAATCAAACTCGAACAACTAGTATTAAATCATAAAAATCAATTATAGGTCATCATCTTACCAAACGAATTAACATGGCATTGATTATGGCAATACACATGGTATGCTATAAATTAATCAAAACCGAATTTTCAATTTGTTTGCAAATGTTGATTTAACGTCCCATAATATGCTGAATATAAACAAATATTTTTTTGGTGTTTTACACAAAAATACTTATTTAAAGAGTCATCGTCGGCTGCAAGAAATTTATCAAAAATTCAAATAAAATTACCGAACAAAAAAACCCAAACACAAAATTAAAACTACCTATTAAATGGAATGGCTTAGGCATTCCATATTTTCTTAAAATTGTATTTCCTGAAAAAAAATCATGAAACTCCTAAGTGGTTGATTCAGAATCTTTGTGCAAATATCCCCGTCATGTTTCAATAATATATTAAGGAAGGAAGAATTTCCAGGCGAGATAGATTCTGGACCTAGTTACCTCGGACTATTAATTAATTACGCTTATTATGTAAAGGTCTATGTGAGATGGTAGTAAGACCAGGGTTTGGACCGTTCCCTTACCAAGTACTTAACAAAATATGTCAACTGGGTAGATAACACAAAATAACAAACACATTTATAATTAAGTACTCAAATTAAATTTGATCCATAAATAGACAAATTTTAAAATCCTTAGTAAACCACTTTGACAATGTCCCCATGCTGTCTATGCACATGCGCAGCACTTGTCGCGTGATTTGTGCGCAGGCGCCGCGCCGTGACGTGCCCGTCAACCGTTCCGCCCATCCTAGCACCTCACTCATTTCCCAGAATCCCATTCACTTTCAGATTTGTGCAAACGCGTTCAAACAGATTGCTAATTATTGCACATGACGCCGCATTTTCTCACAAGACCTCCCGACGAACAATGCACGTATTTTGTCGGCGTCACACAAAATAACCGGCGTAACGCTGACGTCACCAACTGTAAGATCATGAATAATGCCACAAAGTATAAATTATATTTACGTAATAGAGCTTGAATTGTTTTCGTATGAGGTATACTACAAAGGAAGATTTTTCAAAAGAGCGTCCTTATATTTTTGCATATAATATAATAGACCCTTGGTTACAAGTCTCTATCACGAGAATGATCAAGTAAGACTATTTTGATATCAAGGTTGACTTCTAATTGAGTTTTACAACAAAATGAAATTGAGTTAATACAAATTCAAAGGTATTTTAAAATAACACTTGTTATCTAGGGCCATTTGTTATCCAGGATCTACGTTATATACGTTCAGTTACGTAGTGTACTTCGTTTTAAGACTTGTCCTAATAATATTTGTATAAGAGATTTGTTTTGGTGAACCCATTTCGGTGCGCATTATTAATAAAATTCAGTTTTGTTTATCTCCACTTCATCAACATTAGGAAACTGGGATCACAAAATACCACCTTTTTTAGCAACGTAGTGTGAATATCGTGAATTGTAATCTCCTTATCAAGACCTAAAAGATCCATTTAAAGATAGCTACACAGAACATCCATGGCTTGTTTAAGTTTTGGGTCATTTCTTCCAACATTATTCAGAAAATATCCATTTCGGGATTGTTAAATGTGTTAATATACTATTCTGAAAGATCAAGTAATAGAGAGTAGCACAGGGCAGTAACATGGCCATGACCCCTAACAGCCACTCGATAGCACATTCATCTTAGAATAAATATACTCCTAAGAATATCTGCAACATTAAGCAGTTACGAGTAAATTATGGATTAAGCTATAGTGGTATAAATAAAAAAGTGTATAAGAAATTGATTAATTATTCGAAAAATTTGACTCTGTAAATTACCACAGTTAAAAGTAAAAATTTATTTTTCCTACAGTCGCCCGACAAAGTGGGCTTCCTTGCACAGATTATAGTACAGAAAGCCTTACTTTGGCGCACAGTTTTTACTTTGGCGCACACCAGTATTCCAACCAAACAACACAAAACACCGTGTTTTTATTATGCACGTAATCCGTGTACGCTTGAAAATAGGTTTGCAACACTTAAAGATATTACGACTACGATCAGTTGGTGCAGCGTTTCCCATTTCGTTCAATGTTTGGATTTAACCTAACCTAAAAACGTGTTGTGCATGGTTTGAAAGACTAATTATTTATTTGATTTATTTATAGTAATTGTAGGGAAAATATAATGTGTAACAGGAGTGCAAACTGCCTTTGCTGCGCTCGAGAAACTTTCAACACTCGCCTACGGCTCGTGCCCGTGCGTAAACATTTATCTCGTGTGCAGCAAACACACTAGTTACACAAATAACTATTGTCTTTTGCCAAGGGTAAAATATGTTTTGGCCCCATTGGACAGCCTAACTCGTGATAAAATCAATACATACCCTTTGATGAACGAAAGCCCCAACAACGCACGGACACTTGACCTCATATTTGGGTGTTGAACTACAACTGTACCTGTACGTGCACCTCGCGAGGTTGCGAGGTTATTAATGAACTCGAGTGAAATCAACGGCTAACAACTTGAACTGAAAAATGGATGACATTTAATTCATTAGCAAAGCCGACCTCCTGCGGGGAGGCTGGACTAATACCCTCACGATGCGGTGCTGAGGTCACTTCCGGCATTCAACCTCATTAAAAATGGCCGAAACTTGGTCGGCAATGTTCTGGACATCAGTTTGGATGAATGCGATTTTTCAGTGAATTTGTGTGGGCAGGTTAATAGAATGCTACCTTGTTATAAATTGAGGTTAGAACCCCAATTTTCCGAACGTTACTGAACAGTTGCGAGTTTTGTTGAATGCAGTTCTGCACAGTCTAGAGGTCTGTTAACCAATTAACATGTTGTATTATTACTGGAGTTCTATCAATAGTCGAAGATTGTATGATCTGTATGAGGGCGATGGTGATGGCGGATGTGTTGCAAGTGTAGTTGTGTTGTGCCCTTGACGGCTTCTACTCCTCTACTCCCAGCACGACAGACAACACGACCACGACCAGACGAGAGTTAACGGGAGCCGCCTGATTTACAGTGTTTCGCAGCTGCTAATAATCATAAATTACCGGTTAAATCTTGTTTGCTTTCTCCGGATAGTTTTTACAACAAGGTCGGACATGTTACTCTATTAAACTTCTAAACAAAAACTTCATAACCTGATTAGATGACGGTGTTCTACATTGATTGATGTGCGACTGAGGGAATTGATATCAAGTATAAATACGATAAGAAGATATGTTGTGTAAAAACAACTTAACTAACCCAGTTATACAACAAAATACTCATCAATGTATAAAAATTAAAGTAACAAATAAGTTGATAGTTTAAAAAGTGTCTTTAGTTACAAAACACAGTTACGATGTAGAAACGTCTAGTTGTTTACAAGACTAGGAGGCCCCACCGTTGCATGTTGGACTCCATGTCTACTCGGTAGTGGCTATCTTCTAGTCTAGACGTTGATGGTACAGCTTGCATGCATGACTTGGAAGTTGGAACGCAGAGGCGGCAATGTCGTGTAGATGCTTCAGCACACGAGTTTATCGAATGTGGCGTGTTGAACCCCGCTGGTAGTGACCACACATCAAAACTAAAAGAGATAGTTTTGTAAGCAGCAAATTTGTAAATTAAAATATGTCTGCATATAACAACAAAAGGCTCCTGGAATTTCACGAAGGAAACTGGTAAAACTTACTCTAATCAGCATATTTGGCGAGTAAACCTTAATAGTGGAACCGCCTCTCGAAAAACTTCATACGGATATCTTGGTCTAGTTTGGAGGAAATTAAGTCAAGTCACCTTCGATTACCACTGGGCTTTCTTCGAAACATTATCCAGATAATAGGTGGATGGAAGAATAATTTGACCTTTTTAAAATAAACTGTTTCCAAACACATTTAATTGTCCAATCAGAGAACCGAAGTGACTTATTGCTCTAAACCCTGTGAAAATCTTCACATGACATGCATACTGTACGCTACCCAGTACCCCTGTATAGGCCAATCACCGGAGAGTAGGTAGGCAAGATTTAATTTAGAATTATTATTCTTCAACACCAAGCTAACAGCTAAGATGGTGTTTGCTGAGATAACCTATCATTTGGTGTTTCCCCTCAGATGGTAGGATGCTGCACAAATTACTCCAATGCATGGTTATAACAAATTATACTTTTATTCTTCAAAATAATGAAAATCCTTTATAATCTTCCTTATAAATGATATCTAATATTACTATATCAGTAATTAAATGGCAACAGTCTTACTTGGTAAAATTCCTACGGTTTGACTGGCTTAAATAGGCTGTGATTCCCAGTTCCTACGGACTATGACTGTTTCAAGTACAGTAGGCCTAATGCTTGAACTCGTCTGTAACAATTTCAAAAGAAATAATAACAGGTAAACTAAAGTTATACTAATTTCACATAGTTGAGGCAAACATAATTAATTTAAGGTGATTTTACAATTTATAAAATATTCTCAGAACATGTGCTTTTTCAATCCAAATGTAACATGAAAGTTGAGTATTTAACATTTGACATTTACAAAGTTATTAACTGACAGACAATCAAAAGAATATATATAATCATAGGTAAAAACATGGTAAACAAGATTATTAACAATACAATACCACATAAATCAATTTTCTTATATTTAAAATGTTTTCTACTTACATTTTCACGAGTTTGTACAATTTTTAAGGGAATCAGCCAACTAAGAAAGATTTGAAGAAACAGCTCATTACAAAAATGACTTTAGTTAATTAACAGCTGTTCTCCAGTTCTGCCAACAAGGTGAAGTGTAATAATAGTCAAACTAGTTAGCCATTGATCATGATTATATGTACATTATATATTCTGTGAATTAAAATAATTTAAATTTAATTAATATTTCCCTTACATCAGTATAAAATATCCCTCTACCTCTTTTTAAATTTGAATTATTTTAAAATCCAACTAAATATGTTTATACAAATCAAAGAAATAAACATCCTAATCTTCACAACAAAATTTTCACTTATATCTATACAATTCAAATTCAAAATAGAAAAAAAATATCTACTTCCCATCTGTGAACACTTCTATAACTATGCGGTGTTCTTTACGATGAGCATTAAGTACCAAAACTCACCGCGAGATAGCTATACAGAACAGATACATTATTACCCAACATAGTTCCAACGGAAGCTACCAGTCAGCAGCACCAAACAAGATAATCAATTCCTTCAATATGCGTGCTACCAACATTCAAAACAATATCTTTACTGATGATCAATAATCATCTTTTTAATTAATTCAAAATTTTCATGTTTCTTATCCTAACAAACTATTTACAAATACATTTAAGTCATATACCCTGACAATTAAAGAAGTTGTATAGCATTAAGATCATAGAACTCATTTTTCATTTGTTTTATCAACATTCGAAATCTCAAACAAAATTCTGTGTTGGCCAACCTGGAAAATAACATCAAGTGATTTGTTTTAAAGAAAAATCGCCATTTCAGTTTTGAATAGCTATGAGTGTGTTGTGTTTTGTGTGTCGTGTGATGTTTTATTTTAAATTTATAGTTTTGTGTTTTTTTGTGTGTGAAAGTGTCTAGTGTAGTTAAAGTGTGCCTTAAATCTAAAAGTAACTTACCATTCAAATCATACAAACATACAAACCATTCGTGTCACAAACATTCACGGATTTATACAAACATATACTCCACGCATTCATACTATGGTGCAATAACTTATTAGCGAACTCCATAAAATTTTCATTTCAAATCACTAGGCCTAACTTAACAATATTAAAATAACAAAAATTTCTGTCCCTACGATCTTAATTAATTATACATCAATCTTAATAATAACATAACTTTTCCATTTCTACTAAAGTTGCATCCCTGGATAGTCATTCCATTCAAGTTTCAAGTATCTACAAGTTGAACTTTGCTTTCATGATAAAACCCGTGACCTACATTATGACCTGAAATAACAAACTAACTAGGCCTAGACTCATGGGTTGCATTGACTAAACATCTGCCTCATACAACTTCAAATCAATTATATGAATTTTCCTTACATCACTTGTGTCATCTAACTTCTGAACTAAACAAGTTACATCTGTAAACCAATAAATGATTCTGTAAATGCCAACATACCTAGGCGCTAATTTCTTACAAAATTTCTTAGCCTTACTGCTTAAGTAGTGGGTTCTGATATAAACATGGGAATTTAACTTAAATGGATGCTTTGCCCTGGTAGGTGAGAATCTCAGCCGTTGCCTGTTGAACTTCACGCTATTCCTGGCGTTTCTTATGGCTTTATTCAGATTTTCCTTCCGTTCTTCCATCGTCAGTTCATTGGATAATAGCTTCTTAATGTCCCATAGGTTGGTTAATGCACAGCTGGGCTCATGATTAAACATCAATTTAAAGCTGGAAGTCTTCGTTGATGAATTGATGGCAGTATTTAGGCTGACTTGAACTAAATCGATTTCTGCGTCCCATTGGTCTTGTTTATTGTGGTAAAAACTTCTTAGAAGAGGTCCAAGATCCCGGAAAAATCTTTCAGTGTGGTTGCCTGAAGGTTTGTATGCAGGTGTGGTTCGGTGCTGTATGTATTGGCGGAACAAATAGGCCTTAAATTGATTTGATACAAAATAACTTGCGTTATCGGTTACTATGGTTTTAGGTATTGAGAAGTTAGCAAAAGTTTGTTTCAGTTTATCAATTATTATCTTGGAGGTACATTCCCTGATTGGATAAAGCCAAGTATATCTAGTATAAGCATCCAGTATGGCTAAGATATATTTATTTCCTTTCTTAGTACGGGTTATCGGTCCAAGAACGTCCATGTATAGTGTATCGAGAGCTGTTTCAACTGGGATGGAAATTAATTTGCCTTCATATTTACGCTGTGTACTTTTAGACATCATACAAGTGTTGCAGCCTTTCACCTTTTGTTTTACAAATTCATTCAACTTAGGGTGATAGAAATATTCGTTTATCCTTCCAGTTGTTCGAGCAATGCCGAAGTGGCCTCCAAAAATGGTATTATGGTAGAAAGTGAATACCAAGTTGAACAATCGTTGCGGCAAATATATGTGGGACTTTCCTTTAGAATTCCTATGCATTAAAATTTCATTTTTCACAAAATAGCAATCACTGTTAGTTTGATTCTTGATGCTATCTAATATTTTCCTGCATTCTTCATCGTTTCTTTGCTGTTCCTCAAGTTTAGTGAAAGCAACAGGTATTTCATCCACTAAATTCCAGAAGTAAGTTTGTTCATGTTTCGATTTATATTGTTCATTTGATTTACTATTTACATTGTAGGCATTTTCATTTCTAGGTTTAGAGTGTGTTTGTTTTTCAGTTTGCTTCGTGTGTTCTTCTCTCTTCTTATTTTTGTGTTCCTGTATTATAGTGTTCACTTCATCTAGGTTTGTTGTTTGGTTTTGAGTGATGTTTCCCTCTTCTTCAGCATGTTCACTGTATAGGCGTGATAGACAATCAGCTACTAAATTTTGTTCTGATTTTCTGTGTTCAACCTCATAATCTAGGACTAATAATCGTTGAATCCATCGGGACAAACGGCCTAATTTTCTTTTATGAGACAAAATGAAAGCCAATGACTGATTATCAGTGATTAACTTGAATTTCTTAACTTCAAGGTATTGATGAAAGTGTTCCATGCCTAAAATCACACTAAGAGCTTCTTTTTCGTATATAGAGTATCTGAGTTCTGCCTCGGTAAATTTGTGTGAATAATAACCTATCGGTAGTAGCTGCTTCTCGTCATTCTCCTGCAATAACACAGAACCTGCGCCAGTACTTGACGCATCACATTCTAGCACAAAGGATTTTTCAAAATTTGCCAGTTGAAGTAATGGCGGGTTGCTAATTGCTAGTTTGAGCTTCTCAAAGGCGTTCTGGCATTCGGCAGTCCATTTGAATTTTACTCCTTTTTTCTTCAGGTTATGCAGCGGCACGCAAATATCCGCATATTTCGGGATATAACGACTCCAGTAACCACACATGCCGACAAAGCGTCTGACCTGTTTCAGATTGTTTGGGATGGGGAAATGTTGTATAGCAGCAGTCCTATCTGGGTCTATTGTGATTGAATCATGTTTTATTCTGTGGCCTAGAAAAGTTATTTCTTGACAAAAGAATTTGACCTTTTCTGGGTTGACGGTTAGGTTATTCTTGGATAATCTGTCGATTACTTCAGTTAAATGGGATATATGGCTTTGTTTGTCTTTACTGTACACAACAATGTCATCCAAAAATTTTATGAGGTATACAAAATTGATATCATGGAAAATTCCATCTAGGTAACTCGCTAACACACTACTACCTACTTGCAAACCAAAGCTTACTCGCTTATATTGATACTTGCCAAAAGTCGTACAAAAAGCAGTTAATGGACGGCTCTCTTCAGTCAAAGGGCATTGCAAGAAAGCTTTATTTAGATCTATCACCGAGTAATATCTGGCTCCTTGCAGATGCTGATACAGATTGTTTAGGTCACCAATGGGATAGTCCATTTTCACAAGTTTTTTATTGAGTTCGGTGTAATTAATGACTAGGCGATCCTTTTTTGTTAAGAACGCTGGTGAAGAGTATGGACTGGTGGATGGTTCGATAATATCTTGCTGAAGTAGATCATCAATGATTGCTTTAACCTTTTTGATATTGGGTGGACTCAGAAAATATGGTCTTATACAAACAGGTGTGTTATCAGTCACTTGCAGATTTACCTTAAGATTGAGTGCAGATCCAATTTTGTCGGTAAAAACATTAGGATATTTACCTATTAATTGGTTTACCTCCTTTGTCATGTCCTCACAACCAATGAAAATTTGATTTATTTTAGGCTGACTTTGTTCTGAAGTCCTATCTAGGCTAATCTTATGCTCAGGTTTAAATTTAAAGTAGCATGTGTTTTCCTTTAAATTAATTATTAATCCTGTGTTCATAATAAAAGGAGTACCTAAGATCATGTCAAACTTGTTTTCAGTCATTACTAAAAATTCTTCGTTCCACGAGAAGTTATTAATTTTTATCTTAAACTTGCACTTGCCCAACACAGTTATTTCACTATCATTTGCGGCTAACATAGTGCCTCCCCAGTTTTCAATACCCTTAATCATTTTCAAATTCTTAAGTTGCTGATAGAGTTTGTGCGTGATAAAATTTTTACTTGCCCCAGTATCAATTAAGGTTGTTACTACAATGTTTGCATTTATACAAGTTTGGATACAAGGTAAATTGTTATTAATTTTAACCTTTATTTTATTGTGTTTGACCTTTTTGAATTTGTTCCAATCCCTGACTAATCGTCTTAATTCAGCTTTATATTCTAGTGAATGAGGTTGTGTAGCGGTTAGGTTAGGTTTCGTAGGCTCATCGTCATCGGGAGCACTAGTGTTCTTGAGATTAGGACCAGTAACTCCCTCGTCTATGAGTTTTTTTGGTTCCTGTAGCATTGTCTAGCAGTGTGACCTTTTCTATTGCAATTGTAACAGGTTCTGTTGTAATAAGCATCGTTGCGGTGGCTTTGATTTTGTGGAGCATTGTGACGTACGTTGGTTTGAGATACATTTCTGGTATGATGGATAGGGCTACGTGCTACGTTCGCAGTAACAGTTGAATTCTGTTGTGGCCGGTACATTTGAGGTTGTCCTTGACCACAATACATTTGTTCACGTAAGTAATCATTGTACTTAATATTGTTCAATTCGATACACAACTGATCTAGATCATTAAATGATCGAGGATTGTTCTGGAAGGTAATTTGGTTTCTGATGTCAGGTCTCAAGCCATTTTTAATAAAACATACCAAGTCAGGTTCGGATAATCCAGTTTTTAGAATCTGATTGTTTATTTTAATGTCATTTACATACAGTGACAGCGGTTCAGTAGGATTTTGTGGGCGATACACTAAGTCTTGTTTTAGTTTTTCCTTTAAAGTCACAGGAATGTAGGTTTCTATGATTGATTCATGTAATTTATCCATTGTAAATCCTACAGCTTTACATTGCAATATTTTTGTACTCAAGGGTGGTTTAGTATGGCTAGGCAATATTTCATATAAATGCTGATCGGTGAGGTTAGTTTCATTCCTTATAGTTACTAAATCTCTCAAAAATGAAAGCAAGGGGTTTAATT